CTCCCCCTGAGCCGCCCTCCACAGTCCCAGAGCCCAGCCCCACTGAGCCACCTCCCACAGTCCCAGAGGCACTCACCACCACCCCCTCTGAGCTGCCTCCCATAGCCCCAGAGTCTGGCCCCCCAAGTTTGGCCTCCCCCACTCCTGTGGAGCTGCCCATTCCCCTGGAGTTGGCTGTGGTTAGCAGGATGTGGGAGCCGGCGGGGAAGCAGGCCTGGCACAGTGAGCAGGCACCGCTGCAGAATATCCTGTGGGAGCTACAGAAGCCGGCAGGCCAGGCTGGATTGCAGGAGCAGGTGAGTGAGCTTGGGGGAGGGCAGTTTCCCCAATTCCCTCCACCCCATGCACCCTCGACTGACCTGCCTGACCCGGGGCTTCCTTGCCCATACCTCCCAACTCGTGTCCCAGGGCTCCAATGCCTGACTGGGGGCTCCCCTGCCAAACCCAGGGTTCCCCTGCCCCATTCCCCCAAAACTTGGGTTCCCACACACCCCCACGTAGCTATCCCCCCCGCCTTCCAAAACACCCTTACTCTTTATATGCCACAGCCCACCCCACCCCCTCCACCTTCCCCATGAGCCATCTGTCATCAGTGTCCTCCATCTTGGACCAAACTGGTCTCGGTGGCGCCCCCCTCACCCCTTTGCCCCAGGGTCAGGTTGGGGTTCTTGGGGGCTGAACCCTGCTCTCATTGGGGTAACAGGATCTGTCTCCTTTCTCTTTCCGCACCCCCGTCTCTTCCCAGCTGGAGGAGGTGCTGTCCCGTCTGTTGCAGGAGAACCGGGCCCTGCGGGCTGAGCTGGCACTGTGGCAATCCCACGCTCGAGAGGAATGTACCACACCTGCCACTGGAGACGGACAACACCAGGGGACCTCAGCCACCCCCCGTCCAGCGCCCCTAGGGGATAGAGGCCAGGGAGACCTTGCTTATGGTAAGAGGGGGGGACATGGAGCTTTGGCTCAATTGGGGAGGGGGTGAGATCAGGGCTTTTGCCCTTGACTCTGCAAGGGAAGGGGGCTGGGCATCAATGGGGTGCACTGCCTTTCGGGAGGAGGGGTGGCACCTGCCTGCTGGTCGGGGGGAGGGGTCTGGGCAGTTATGGGAATCATGTGGGGAGAGAGTCCCGGGTATTTGGGGAGGGTCATTGGAGAAAGGGGGGTCATGGCTGGAGGCCCAGGCATTGGAGCGTCATGGTAGCAGACCCCTAACTTATGTCCCCGTCTCTCTTTCTCAGTTCTCCAGACTGCCTGGCCGGTGGTGCGGGATGCCCAGACCCAGACGGAGGGGCCGGCGCGGGGCAGGCGCCACAGGGAGCTCATCTCGGCGGCCTTCGACCACACTCAGTATGAGCCCTATGGGCTGCCTGAGGTCGTCATGAAAGGTGCGTGGTGGGCAGCTGGATCAGGCACATGGTGCAGGCACTGCCCATGTCTGGGGGTGCTGAGGTGTGGGGGGCAGTTCAGGGAGTTATGGGATGGGCAGCATTTGAGGGGCAGCCTGGGGCAGGTTATGGAGCAGAGGGGTTCAGGGAGGAGGTATGGGGCAGGGGAGTGGCAGACTGAGGAGGGTATGAAGTGGAGGGGATTCTGGGGGAGATACAGAGCAGAGGGGTACAGGGCAGGGGAAGCCCCAATTTGGGAGGGTTAGTGTGAGGGGAGTAGGGGGAGGCATCCCAGATTGTGCCTCCATGAGAGTCCAGTACACCCCCCGCCACCTGCAGCCAGTGGCCCTGTGCCCAGGCTCAGCTAGGAATTCTCCCCCCCTCCCACCTCCGCCCAGTTGATTTTCCATCTGGCTCAGCAGCTCTGAGCTCTGCAAGGCGGGGCAGGGGTGCAGTACTGATTCTGGCTCTGATCCCTCCCCAGGCAGCTGCCCTTCCCCCCAGCAGGGCACTGGAGTGAGAGTGGAGGGGGGACCCCTAGCAGTGCTCCCAGCCCCCAGGGAGTGAGAGATTGGGACCCAAAGGTGTCTGGGATGGGGGCTCACCCCTAGCAGAGCTCAGCCCCCACACGTTAACCCCAATCTCACTCTGTGCCCCACTCACAGGTTTTGCCGACATCCCCTCCGGCCCCTCCTGCCCCTATGTCCTTCGGAGGGGGCTCCTGGGCAGCACCCCCTTGGCCCAGCTGGCACCCAAAGCTGAGCCGGAGGAGGATCCCGCTGAACCTGCTATGGGCACCAGCGTCTGAGAGCATCTACACTGCTGGGTGAGCAACCCCTATATGCATCCCTGAGCTCCACCCCAGAGGCAGCTGCATCTTTGCATTGGGGCAGCAAGATGATGATTTCTGTGTTTCACATTCTTTTCCATTCTCTTTCCAGCCTGGATGGCAGAAATGTGTCCCCTCCGGCTACAAAGATCCCTGATATTGCCTGGAGCTCCCCAGCGACACACACACAGCTTGAAGGGAGTTAAGCCCTCTCTTCATGGCTCAGGGAATCAAAGGGCGGGTTGTGTCCACCCACCCAAAGTTTGGAGGAGCTGCTATGTTGAGTCATCCCCCCACCCCCGAGAGCGGCTCAGCAGAAATTCCTCAGAGAGAGGGGGTGCAGCACAGGGAGTCTTCCCCCCTCCCCCGCCCCAGCTCTGGGTTTATATGTAACTCTGTCTCCCCCGGCCCCAATAAAGTTCCTTGCCTCAGCTTCAGGCAGCTCCTACTTGCTTCTTTCCAACGTTGGGGTCTGGCAGTTGCATTGCTCCCAAGCTAGTCTGGGCTGGAGACACCCCCCTCCTGTGCAGGTCTCCAGCACTTCTGGGTGAGAGAGTGTTACAACAGCCCCCCCCCCACCACACACACAGAACCCAGGCATCTGCAGGCAGAGGGACAGTAGTGTCCCCACCCCATTCTGCAGGGGGGGAAACGGGCACAGAGAGGGGACGCGGAGCAGCTAAGAATTGAACCTAGGAGTCCTGCTCCCTCCTCTGGGGCCAGGGAGGGAGCAGTGTTGGGGGGCTTTGGGGGTTGCACCATCCCAGGGAATCCCCAGCAACACCTCTATCCTAAAAAATCATCCCAGAATCCCATGGCAAAGGGTTGTGTCCCCACCTCTGTCCCCCTGGGTACCCTGTGCTGGTACCAGCCTGTCCCCTCTCCGTGCACTGTCCCCCTCCATGCTGTCCCCCCCAAAAGGGTTAACAGCCCCCCCCCCAATCTGCAGCTCCTGCAGCCTGAGGCTCCGGCTCCCTCTGGCTGTGGCTGGGCGGAGATGGGGAGGCTCCTGGCAGCTGGGGGCCAACGGGGGGGGGAGGCAGGCCAGCAGCTGTCCCCTCCTGGGGGGGGAGAGGAGTGAGGGAGGAGGCTGCACCTGTCTGCCAGATCCCAGTGCAGGGAGGAGCCGTTGCTGCTGCTGCTGCTAGTGAGTGAGTGAGGGATACAGGGGGAGGGGGGATGCTGGGGCGGGTACCACTCCATCCATCCATCCCTTCCCCCGGAACCCTGTGCCCCACTGCCCACACTGAGCAGGGTGATGAGGGCTGGGGGACCAACTGGGCTGAGCGGCAGTGGCTTTATCTGGAGTGTGTCAAATGTGTGAGAGACGTGTGTGTTTGTGTGTGTGAGATAGTGTGTGACATGTCAGACAGCCGGGGATGTGTGTGAGATGGGGTGTGACTGTGTGAGCTACAGTGTGTGACAGGGTGTGTGAGACAGTTTGTGTATGAGACACAGACATGGGGATGCGTGTGAGATAGGGTGTAAGAGTGTGTGTGTGATACAATATGTAATGTGTGAGAGAGTCCATATACGGGAGACAGACACGGGGATGTGTGTGAGATGCGGTGGAACAGTGTGTGTGTGATACAACGTGTGAGAAAGTCCAAGTATGAAAGACAGACACGGGGATGCATGTGACATGAGGTGGGACAGTGTGTGAGCTACAGTGTGTGACAGGGTGTGTGAGACAGTTTGTGTATGAGACATAGACATAGGGATCCATGTGAGATGGGGTGAAACTGTGTGTGAGATACAGTGTGGTGTGTGAAAGAGTCCAGGTACGGGAGACAGACATGGAGATGGGGTGGGACAGTGTGTGTGTGAGATACAATGTGTGATGCTGTGTGAGACAGTCCAAGTACAAGCGACAGACACGGGGATGTGTGTGAGATGGGGTGTTACAGTGTGTAAGCTACAGTGTGTGATAGGGTGTGTGAGATAGTTTGTGCATGAGACAGACACAGGGATGTGTGTGAGATATGTGTGACACGGGGGGTGTAAGAGAGGCACCATGTATGTCTATCACCCCATGCTGGAGAGAACAAACCTCACCCTGTGTATGAGACAAGTGTGTGTGTGTGTGTGTGTGTGCGCGCGCACCACAGGGGGCGACAGAGGGCCGTGTACAACGCCCCCTACTGGCAGAGGCCAGGACTGGCGTAGCTGGGAGCTCCCCCTGTAGCTGGCGCTCCTGCTCCGCTCCCTGCAGCCCTCTGCTGGGAGAGGCCGGGCTGGCAGGCCGGGCACGGACGCTGGCTGGCGGCCCCTGTGCAGTGCCAAACCTGCGGTGGCGGCACCAGAGTCTGGCGGGGCAGAGCTAATTGAAAGGCTCCCGTTAATTGGGCTCCGGCTGACAGGTTGGGTGGGGGAGGGCTGGCACAGAGCCAGCTGTGCACCAGGCAGATCCCCCCCACGCACCCGACTGGGAGGGGCCGGGAGACTCAGCCCCCCTCCGTCGCTCCCTGGAGCCCAGCTACTGTAGGGTCTGGCTCTGCATGGCACCCAGGTGAGTGGGGCAGCCTTTCCCCCGGGGCGGGGGAGGGAGACCCCCGCGCCCTCTGCAAGGGGGCTGTACAGTGTATCCCCTATGTATGGGGCCCCCGGGACTGGGGTTAACTCCCCCAAGACCCTCCCCATCTGGGATCCCTCGGATTGGGGTTAACCCCTCCACCCGACCCACCGGCGTTAACAACCGCCCCCTGTGGGGCCGTGGTCCGGGATGGGGGTTCCCCCCCGGTGCCCTTCCCCCCACCTCCATGGGCAGCTGAGCACACACCCGGCTGCTCCTGCCCCTTTAAGCTCGGCTCCTCCAGCTACAGCATCTCCTGGCAGCAGCCCCGGCGCCGTCTCATTGCCCCCCCGCTCCATCCACCGCAGCCCCTGGCCGCCCCGCCGGGTGCGCACTGCGCGCTGCTGCCCAGCTGGGGCCGGCCGGGGGAGGCAGCGAGGTGGCGGAGCCCCCCTCCCCCCGGAGCTCCTTGGCTCACCCCGTCTGTCCGTGGGGGAGCGGGGTCGGCTGAGGGGGGGTGTTCTGTGAGGGGGGGACCCACTGGGCTGAGGTTCCGGCTCCGAGCGGCGCTGGGGGGATCCCAAGGGGAGGGGGGCAGGGCCGGGATGTCAGTGCAGCTTCCCAACCCGCCTTCTCGCTGCCCTCCCGCCGAGCACCATAAGGTATTGGGGGGGGGCAGGGGGGTCTCGCGTGATGCTCCCACTCCCTGTCATCCCCTTGCAATGAGCAACCTACCCCCCTCCCATGGGGACCCTGGGGGCTGAGGCAGAGCGGGGGTGGATGGGGCGGCAGAGGGGATGGGGGATGGGAGGGTATCAGGTTGGGAATGGGGGGAAGGATGGGGTATATTCCCCCACCCCTCCCCCTGCAGTGAGGTACCCCATCTCCCGGAGTAGCATAGGTATTGGGGGGAACGGGGATTTCTCTATGTTATGGGGGTGGGAAAAAGGGGTGTCTCTTCTCACCTTGCCCTGCCAAGCACCATGGGCATTTGGAGGTGGAGGATGGAGGGTCTTTGTGTAGGGGGGGTTGTTGGTGGAAGATGGGTGTGGTGCTGTGGGAGTGGTCTCCCCCTGCAGTGAGCTACCCCCAGCCACCCCCTGGAACACCACATGGCACTGGGGGTGGGAGGTGGCATAGAGGGATGTCTGTGCAGTGGGAGATATGGGGAATTGGCAGAAGGAGGGTGTTTTTCTCTGGACTCTGCCTGTGTCCCCTCCCCACAGAGAGCCCCCTATGCATGGGATACTGGGGTGGGAGTATAGGGGATATTGGGGATATGTGGGTGTAATGGGTGTCTCTATGCAGTAGGGACTATGCGGGGTAGACATCTGTCCACACTCCTCCCATCCCCCACCCCAGTGAGCCACTGCCCCAGAGCACTATGGGCTACTGGGTGTGGCATATTGGGTTGGGGTTCTCTAAGAAGGGGGTTTATTGGAGGGGGCAAAGGGGGCATATCAGGGTGAAAGCTATGAGCAGTATTGGGTATACTGGAGGGTCTCTACATAGTGGGGTTATTGGAGGTATGGATGGGGTGTATCAGGGTAGGGACTATGAGGATCTCTAAGCAGTAGGAGTTATGGGGGTATGGGTGGAGCGTATTGGAGTGGGACCTCTGGGGGTCTATATGCAGTGGCGATTAGGGTATGGGTGGGGGATATCAGAGGGAGACCATCTGGGTATCAGGTGTAATGGGGGTCTCTATGCAGTGGGAGTTATTGGGGGTATGAATGGGGTATATAGAGATATCAGGAGTGTAATGGGGTCTCTGCAGTGGAGGTATTGGGGTATGGGTGGGGCGTATCAGGGTCGAGGGCTATGGACGGTATTGGGATGTAATGGGCTGTCTCTGCAGTGAGGGTGAGTGGATTATGGGTGGGGCGTATTGGATGGGGGTATGGGTAGGGTGTATCAGAATAGGGGGCTATGGGTATATTGGGGGGTCTCTCTGCAGTGAGGGCTATTGGGGTATATGTGAGGTTTATTGCAGTGGGGGGGCTATGGGTGGTATTGGGGTATAATGGGGTCTCTCTGCAGTGGGGGCTATTGGGTTATGGGTGGGGTGTATTGGGTGGGGGGCTATGGGTAGTATTAGGGTGTAATGGGGTCTCTATGCAGTGGGGGTATGGGTGGGGCATATCAGGGTGGGGGGCTGTGGATGGTATTTGGATGTAATGGGGGACTCTGCAGTGGGGGCTATTGGGTTATGGGTGTATTGGGATGGGGTGTGGGTGGTATTAGGGTGCAATGGGGATATCTGCACTGGAGATTATTGGGGTATGGGTGGTATTGGGGTGGCCTTCCCCCACACTCACCCCCATCTTCTCCCTGCAGTGAGCTCCCCCCTGACCTCCACAGCCCCCCACCCTGCCGAGAACCATGGGGCACTGCCTGTCTGCTACTCGTCTAAGGAGTCAATCCTGAGTGGGGCGGGGGTGGGGCAGACACCCCGTAGTGGGCAGGGCAGCGTGATGCGACGGGCTACGGTGCTGGCCCTGCTGACCGTGGTGCTGGTCTACCTGGTGAGCGGCGCCTTCGTCTTCCGCCTGCTGGAGCAGCCGCATGAGAGCCGCCAGCAGGAGGCACTGCAGGTCGCCCGTGAGCAGTTTCTGCAGAGATACCGCTGCGTGCCCAGCCAGGAGCTGGACACACTCATCCTGGTGAGATGATGGGAGAGGGGCATGGAGGGGGCAGGTGTGAGGCGTGAATGGGGACGGGGTGTGGTGGATGGGGGAAAGAGGGGAGCAGCAGTGGGGCATGGGGGAGGGGGGAGCAGGCATTGGTGGGGGTGATGGGAAGTGCTATGGCCACCACTGAAAGTCCCCTCAGTTACAGCGCTGCCAGTTCCTAAAGAGAAAGAGGCTCTCGCTGACTCAGGGATCGTGCAGAGCCTCCAGCTTTTCCTAAAATCCTAATGAATTAATTCTGTCCCCCCCCCAGTCCAGAAATTAATCCCCTCCCTGGCCTCCTACATCTGCCCCCCTCCTCTTGCAGCTCCATGGGGCTTGTCACCCTCCCCCAGTCTGGGAGGGGCAGGGCTGGAGGGGGGAGCAGGGCTGCCCTAAGCTGCTGGGCTCTTTCTCCTTTCCTCCCCACTTCCCTCCTGTCCCCTGCTCCTTCTCTCCCCCCACTCCCACTTCTCTAGCTGATATCTCTTGTGGGGGGGGAGAGCATCACCTGCCTCCTGCAGCATCCCTGATTGGCTGTCCTTCCCAGGAGGTGGAGAAAGTGGGAGAAGGGCAGCCAATCACAGGGGCTTTTCACCCCCACCCTTGGGCCAGGCTGGACTCCTGAGATTGGCCGAAATCAGAGTTGTCAATGGGGGGGGCAGGAGGGGATGGTTATAAGGGGTAGATGGGGAAGGACAGTGCTGGAGGCATGGGAAGGGTGGGGGGGGGTCAGGTGTCATTGGGGTGGGGCAGAAGGAGATGCAGGTTGGGGTGATTTGGGGGGTAATGGGGTGGGGTGAGGCTGATGGAGGGTTTCCAGGGGGAGATGGGGAGAGGAAGGGGAAAGTGGGGTGGGGGGCAGTCAGGTGTCTGGGGACAACAGCCATGGGGCAGTCAGGAAAGGGTTGGCAAATGTGTACTGGGAAAGTCAAGTTCGGGGGTAAGGATGTGGGGCGGGGACAGCAGGAGCTGCATGATGGGGGGGAACCCAAAACCACTAGTATTAACCCCTTCCCGTCTCCCCCAGCATGTCAGAGACACCATGGGTGCCGGTGCTGACCCCACAGCCAACAGCACCAATGGCACCAGCACCAACTGGGACATGGGCAGCGCCTTCTTCTTCGCTGGCACCATCATCACCACCATCGGTACTGGCCCGTGGGATGTGTGTGTGCTGCGGGTAGGGATTGAGGGCAGAGGTGGGGGGTTGCTCAGGGCTGCGATAGCAGGGAGCTGCAGTTCAGGATTAAGGGGCATCAATTCTGCCCCCTCCCTGCTGACTCCATGCTCTCCCCCCCGCCAGGGTTCGGTAACACATCCCCCAAGACAGAGGGGGGGCGTCTCTTCTGCATCTTCTACGCTCTAGTTGGGATCCCGCTCTTCGGGATGCTGCTGGCTGGGGTGGGCGACCACTTGGGCTTCTCGCTGCGCCAGGCCATCGGCAAGGTGGAGGATATCTTCCTGGTGAGTGCCCTCTGAGTCCCTGTCCCCCTGTCCCCACAGAGCCAGGGCCCATGTACCCAGCAGCTCCAGGGTCGTCAGTGGTTCCCCCGCTCCAGCCCCTCATGTCCAGCAGCTACAGTGGCTTCCACTGTCCTCCTTGGTCTCCCAGCCTCCTGTGCTCCCCCAGCAGTCCCCCCACATACCCCTGCACCCACTCTCCGGGCTCTGTGCAGAGCAGGGGTGCTGCAGAGGAGGGGTCAGATAGTGGGACCGGGAGCCTGGCTCTGCTTCCCAGCACTAGATCTCTCCCATTTATGGGGCCAGCTTGGTTTGGGGCTCCTGTCCCAGGGGGCTCCCCAGTCTGTTTCCTCCCCCAACACTCTCTGCCCCCACCCCGTGTGTTCCAGGGATTCCCTTCCCGGAGGTGGGGGGAGGGTCCTTTCCCCAGAGTTGTGTGGCACAGTTCCCCTCCTGAGTAGGGTGGCCACCTCCAAGGTGCAGAAAACCCAGCCTCTGGCCACCCTGCCACCTAACAAATCACAGCCCCTGGCTGTCACCCCATCAACCAACAACAAAATGCGGTCCACTGGTCACACCACCACCAGAGCCCGGCCACTAGCCACGCCCCCCGTTAAGAAAAAGGGTCCTAGTGCCCATTATAGGTATTACTAGAATGCATTAGAGAACCGTTTTACAAAACAGACAAACAACCCCCACGCAATCTGTATATTTTTATGTTATTTTACATAAGAACATAAGAATGGCCATACTGGGTCAGACCAAAGGTCCATCCAGCCCAGTATCCTACCGACAGTGGCCAATGCCAGGTGCCCCAGAGGGAGTGAACCTAACAGGTAATGATCAAGTGATCTCTCTCCTGCCATCCATCTCCACCCTCTGACAAACAGAGGCTAGGGACACCATTCCTTACCCATCCTGGCTAATAGTCATTAATGGACTTAACCTCCATGAATTTATCTAGTTCTCTTTTAAACCCTGTTATAATCCTAGCCTTCACAACCTCCTCAGGCAAGGAGTTCCACAGGTTGACTGTGCGCTGTGTGAAGAAGAACTTCCTTTTATTTGTTTTAAACCTGCTGCCCATTAATTTCATTTGGTGACCCCTAGTTCTAATATTATGGGAACAAGTAAATAACTTTTCCTTATTCACTTTCTCCGCACCACTCATGATTTTATAGACCTCTATCATATCCCCCCCTTAGTCTCCTCTTTTCCAAGACAAAGAGTCCTAGCGTCTTTAATCTCTCCTCGTATGGGACCCATTCCAAACCCCTAATAATTTTCGTTGCCCTTCTCTAAACCTTTTCTAATACCAGTATATCTTTTTTGAGATGAGGAGACCACATCTGTATGCAGTATTCAAGATGTGGGTGTACCATGGATTTATATTTATAAGATATTCTCTGTCTTAGTCTCTATCCCTTTTTTAATGATTCCTAACATCCTGTTTGCTTTGTTGACTGCCGCTGCACACTGCCTGGATGTCTTTTATCATTTTTCTTACCTCATCCTAACACGGGCCACAGTCCAAACTACAAGGCATGGATTGTAGAGTGCTTTGGCATGTCTCAAGTGAAAAAACCCAGCACAGAAAATCTTCTACCTGGCAAAGCAGTACAAAACCCGGCCAGGTGGCACCTCTACTGCCAGGGGGCTGTGTGAGGGGGGCAAAGGAGTGAGTGTGTGTGTGTTGGGAGGAATTAGTGTATGTGAGGGGCAAAGGGGTTGGTGTGTGTGGTGGTGGTGGGGGTTCCCCTCTCGGGGGTCAGAGTGTGCGTGTGGGGGGGGGGCTGGCACAGTCTGTGGGGAGGGGGCTTTCCCCTGGTCCTCCCCTGATGCTGTCTCCTCCCTCCCAGAAATGGCAGGTGAGTCCCACCATTGTGCGGGTTCTCTCCGCCCTGCTCTTCATCCTCATTGGCTGCATCCTTTTCGTCACCATCCCCACCATTGTGTTCCAGCGAGTGGAGGGCTGGACCCTGCTGGAATCTGTCTACTTTGTGGTCATCACGCTGACTACCATCGGCTTCGGGGACTATGTGGCAGGTAGGCATGGGAGGATCTACATGGGGGAGGCTGTTGGTGGTGGGCAGGAGGGGGGGCTCAGTGGAAGCTGGGCTTCATGGGGGACAAGGAAAGGGGAGCAGGGAGCAGCCTAGTGTGTGTGGGAGGGTTAGTGTGAGAGAGCCCCTGGTGGGTCCCACTGTGGGAGGTGTGAGTAGCAGATGACAGGGAAGGTGGGTGGTGAGGTGTGATGTCCTAAGTGGAGCAGAGGATGTAGTCCAAGAGCTAATTATAGCAGGACTGCTCAGTAATAGGGACCATAATGTAATTAAATTTAGCATCTCTGTAGGGAGATAATACACGCACAAAAAATCCCACTACAGTAAAATTTAACTTTAAAAAGGGGAACTACACAAAATGAGGACACTTGTTAGATGGAAATTAAAAGGAGCTGTCACAAGGGTAAAATGCCTGCAAGCAGTGGAAACTATTTAAAAATGCCATAATACAGGGTCATAGTGAATGTATACCCCAAATCAGAAAAGACAATACGAGGACCAAAAGAATACCACCATAGCTCAACAGCAGAATATTGGAGGCTGTTAGAAGCAAAAAAGTACCCTTTAAACTTTGGAAATCAAATTCCAATGAGTTCCAACAAACTCAGGCTGGTTAAGGGTCCAAGTGTAATAAGACAGGCCAAGAAAGAACTTGAGAAGCAACTTGCTAAAGACGCAAAAACTAAGCATTTTTTTTAAGTACATCACAAGCAGGAAGCATGTCAGACAGGCAGTGGGGCCAGACCACAAAGGTGTTAAAGGAGCACTCAAGGAAGACAAGGCCATTGCAGAGACGCTAAAAGGATTCTTTGCATCAGTCTTCACTCCAGAGGATGTGGGGGAGATACCCCCATCAGAGCTATTCTTTTTGGGTGAGACATCTGAAGTGCTATTACACAGATGTGTCAGTGGAAGAGATTTTAGAACACATTGATAAATGAAACCGTAATAAGTCACCAGGACCAGCTGGAATCACCCAAGAGTTCTGGAGGAATTCAAACATGAAATGGCAGAACTACTAACTGTGGTACGTAATCCATCACTGAAACAAGCCTCTGTGCCAGATGGCTGGAGGATAGCTTAATGTAATGCCGATTTTTAAAAAAAGGCTCCAGAGGGGATCCTGGCAATTACAGGCCAGTTAGCCTAACTTCAGTGTTGGGCAAATTGGTAGAAACTATAGTAAAAAAAAATGGAATTATCAGTTAACACTGATAAACACACTTTGTGGGAGAAGAGTCAACACAGCTTTTGTAAAGGGAAGTTGTGGCTCATGACTCAAGAATTCTTTGAGGGGGTCAACAAGCATGTGGATAAGGGTGATCTAGTCAATATAGTGTACTTGGATTTTCAGAAAGCCTTTGACAAGGTCTCTCACTAAAGGCTCTTAAGAAAAAAGTAGTCATAGGATTAGAAAAAAGGCTCTCTCGTGGATCAGTAACTGGTTTAAAGATAGGAAACAAAGGGTAGGAATAAATGGTCAGTTTTCAGAATGGAGAGAGGTAAATATCGGGGTCCCCCGAGGGACTGGGACTTGTGCGATTCAACATATTTACTAATGATCTGGAAAAGGGGAGTGAACAGTGAAATGGCAAAGTTTGCAGATGATAAAAAATTACTTAAGATAGTTGAGTCTAAAGCAGACTGTGAAGAGTTACAAAGGGATCTCACGAAACTGCATGAGTGGGCAAGACAATGGGAGATGAAATTCAGCGTTGGTAAGTGCAAAGTAATGCACACTGGGAAACATAATCCTAGCTACACATACAAAATGATGAGGTCTAAATTAGATGTTGCCACTCAAGAATGAGATCTTGGAGTTATTGTGGGTAGTCTGAAAACTTCAGCTCAATGTGCAGCAGTGGTCAGAAAGGCTAACAAAATGGTAGGAAGGATAGAAAATAAGACAGAAAATTATTATAATGCCGCTATATAAATCCATGATGTGCCCACACCTTGAATCCTGTATCCAGTTCTGGTTGCCCCATCTCAAAAAGGATATATAGTGGAACTGGAAAACATTCAGAAAAGGACAACAGAGGTGATCAAGGGTATGGAATAACTTCCATATGAGGAGAGTCTAAAAATATTAGGACTGTTCAGCTTAGAAAAAAGACAATCAAGGGGGGGGGATATGATAGAGGTCTACAAAATCATGACTGATGTAGAAAAATAGAGAAGTCTTATTTACCCTTTCACACAATACAAAAACCAGGGGGTCACTGATTGAAATTAATGGGGAGCAAGTTTAATACAAACAAGAGGAAATACTTCTTCACACAAGGCACAGTCAACCTCTCATGAGATGTTGTGAAGGCCAAAAGTATAACTGGGTTAAAAAAAAAATTAGATAAGTTCATGGAAAATAGGTCCATCGCTGGCTATTGGCTAAGATGGTCAGGGATGGATGTACCCCATGCTTAGGGCGATCTTAACCCTCCAACTGCCAGAAGCCAGGAGGGGCAGACAGGTGGATCTCTCCAAATTGCCCAGTTCTGTATACTCTCCCTGAAGCTCCGGTATGGGCTACTGTCAGAAGACAAGATAGTGGTCTAGATGGACCATTGGCCATTCTTATGTGGCCAGGGGGGCCTGGTACAGGGAAAGGAGGACAGGGAAGAGGCAGAGGGAAGCGGGTGGAGAGGGGCTGGCAGGAGGATTGGGGGCAATGGAGTGATGGGGGAGAGGGGCAGGGAAGGCACAGCCGGTGCAGTGAGGAGGTTGTGTGTTTCGGGGGCAGTGTCTCAGCATCTCCCCTCCCAGGTGATGGTATGGGGGACAAGCACCCCTGGTACAAGCCCCTGGTCTGGTTCTGGATCCTGCTGGGCCTGGCCTACTTCGCCTCCATCCTCACCATGATTGGCAACTGGCTGCGGGTGTTGTCCCGTCGCACGCGGGCCGAGGTTGGTACCCCGCACTTCCCCCACCCTGCCTCTCTGATCCCCTCACTTCCCCCCATCCCTCAGATCCCCTCCTTGCCATCCATCCTGCCCCTTACCCTCCCACGGAACCCCCACTACCCTGCCCCTCTGACCCACTCACTGCCCCCTTTTGCATCCTCTCATGGACCCCTGACGGACTCTCCTCTGCTGTGCTCCTCTGCCCACCACTTCTCTAACCCCCCTACTTTCCATCATCCTGCCCCTCCAACCCCCCCACAGAACCCCCACTGCCTCCTGCCCCCCACCCCTCCAGCTCCCCGTATGAACCCCCACACTGTCTTGCCCCTCCATCCCCCTTACTGCCTCCCCTTTGCATCCCCCCATGGACTCCCCACTGTCTCCTCCTGTCACCCACAGACCTCCTATCCCCCTCACCACTCTAACCCCCTCACTGTCCCCCACCCCACCTCTCCAACTCCCCACAGACTCCCACTATCCCCTGCCCTCCCACACCCCTTTGCATCCTCCCACAGACTTTGCATCCCCCTGTGGTGTCCCCACCCCATCCCTATGACCCCCCCACGGCACCCCCAACTAGCTGCGAGTACTGTCCCAGCATACACATGCCAGGGTTGGTACCCCACTACAGACCCCTTCATAACCACCACCCCTTCCAACCCCTCAAAGGACCCCACATCCCCCACATTGACAACTTGCTGGGGGTGCTGACCCGGCACACATGGGCTGAGATGGGTCTTCCCCACCCCCCAACCGACCCCTCCATCTGACCCCTCCCACGCCCCTGCATCCCCCTGTGGACTCTGTCACTGCTCCACACCACCCCCACAAGATACACCCACTGGCGGGTCCTGTCCTGGTGCACAAAGGCTATGTACCCACCCTGCACACACACCCTAGCATGCACCCCCCTCCAAAAGAGCCTCCCCCCATCCTGTACACAGACCCCAGGGCGTGCCCATAGGTGAGAGAGTGGATGGGGGGGTCAGTCTGACACCCCCCAATCCAGCAGAGTGGATGGGTGGGGGAAGGGAGGAGTGGTTCATGTGGAGAGGGGGCATGTCAGTGGGAAGGGATGGGGTGGGGAGGAGTAAGTATGTGGGGGTCAGGGTGGAAGTGGAGGGGGGTCAGTGGAAGGGCTTGGATGGGTTCCCTGACCCCCCACTTTCCCCACAGATGTTGGGGGGGTCTCACCCTGCAGGCTGAGGGGGCTGGGGTGTATGTTGAGGCAATCAGTGGAGGGATGTGGGGGGGCTCAGTGATGTATGCGGTGGGATCAGTGGGAGATTTCCCTGCCTGTCCCTGATTCCCCTCTCAACCTACAGATGGGGGGCCTCACCGCGCAGGCTGCCAGCTGGACAGGGAATGTGACGGCCCAGCTGCGGGTGACGGGCATGGGGCTGCCTGAGAAGCTTCAGAAAGTGGGGACGCTGAAGGGACACCCACCCTCCCCTATGCCCCCGGAGCTTCCACCTGCCACGCCTTCTCCACCACCTCCCTTGCCTCGCCCGGAGCTCCCCTCTCCCAGCACCGCCCTGCAGGTGGCGCAGCTCAACGCCCGCAACATGGCCGCCTCAGCGGGGGGTGGCCTGCGCCCTATAGACTACATGGGGGAGAACCTGGCCTTCATCGATGAGAGCTCCGACACCCAGAGCGAGGCGCCCACTGAAGGGGGGCTGCAGGCCAAGCGCCCCCGCCAACTCCGCCGCCTGCGTACCCGCCACACCCACGGCCAGCCCCCCGGCCTGCCTATGGACCTGCTGAGCCGCACTCGCCACAAGGGTGAGGCGGTCTAGAGGGGAGTGGAGCGACACCTGCACGGAGACTGCCCCCCTGCAGCATGGTGCTACCTGGGCCCCCAACAGCATAGAGACTGCCCCCCGGGCTGTCAGCTGGGCCTACCTGTCCCCCATGGTACCAATGGGGCCCCCCAACACAGACCTCCCTTCCCTCATGGTACCAACTGGGCCACCCAGCATGGAGACATCCCCTCCCCTGTGATGCCAACTGCCCCCCTGCTGCCAAACTGCCAACCCAGCACTGAGACTGCCTCCCCCACCCCGGTACCAGCTGAGCACCCCTGGCACAGAGACACCATCCTCCATGGTCCCCTCAAGGTGCCAACTGTCCTCCCCAGCACCAGACCCCACCCACACCCAGAAAAGGGATTTGCTCCCATCCCCTTCTTGGTACCAGGAGACCCCCTCCAATACCGGGAACCCCACTGCACACAGACACCTACCACCCCAGCTCAGAGACTATCCCCCTCCCCTGGAGTGTCTGGGGGGCAGCTCGTGGGGGACACTCCTGTCTCCCCCCAAATCTGTGCCTCATTTGCCTTGCGGGATGGGTCCTTAACCCCCCCAAAAGGGGGAGGGATCAAACTGCCAAATGATATTCTGAACCCCCAAACTCCTGGGGGTTGACCCCTCCCAAATCAACTAGGGGGAGTTTATTGAGCCAAATAAGGGGCGATGCTGTTCCCTGCTGCCTCCCCTCCCCCTCCGTGGTGTAGGAAGTGGGGGTGTCCACCCAGTGATCCCCCTGTGTGTCTGTCTGTCCTGTCGCCACTTCCCCCCCCCCATCCACACACACAAAGGTGCCTGTTTGACTCTGTTCGATGGACAATTTTTTGTTTTGTTTTTTATTTTCCAGATTAAACCAAAATCTGAATGAGAGACACCGCATCTGTGTGTCTGTCCAGGGTGGGGGTAGCTGGCACAGTGCCTGAGGGAGGGAGGGCTCAGGAGGCACCAGCCCAGGAGGGGGGGCATGGAAGAGGTGTAGCGGGGTTCAGAGGCAAGGGGCTGTGGCGGTTTGATGGGGAACAGGAACCAGGGTAGGGGGGCAGTGGAGAAGGGGAGCTGGGAGTGGAAGTAAGTGGAGCATGATGGAGGTGGGGCCACAGAGTGGGGGGTGTCACCCGTCCCAGGGGTCCTCCACCCCCAGGGGACCTGTGCAAGGCATGGTGTGGGGGATTGGGGACCTTGGGGGGTGAGTCTCCTCCTCCCCCAGCTCTGCTGGGGGCAAGTGAGGGATTCTAGAGTCCCTGGGATGGGATGTGGGGGCCTGGAGACTGTTGCCCAGCAGGGTTCTCCTGTTGCCATGGCTTCACCGCAGGGCACCACGGGGTCCTGGTCTGAGTGGGGTGTCTGTGAGTCCATCCTTTCCTTTTGGGGGGGTGCATGGTCATTGTGGTCTCTCACCCCCCCAAACTCCAGCTTCTCTTTGTGCCCCATACTGGAAGGGTGATGGGGGGCACAAAGTAGGTGGGGGTCTGATGAGAGGGGGAGTGGAGGAGTAAATGGGGGGCAGAGGTGTGTGGCTGGGTTTGGTGGGTTAGCAGGGATGTGTGGAGGATAGGCAGATGTCAAGAGGGGTGACTGGGCTGCAAGAGGCATGAAGGATGTGGGGGCTCAATGGGAGTACTGGGGTGGGGATGATTGGGTACCAAGGGCATGGGGGGGCTAAAAGGGGGGGATTGGGTGGGGGCTGCTAGCTCTGACACTTCCCCTCCCCCGGCGTCTCAGGCACTGAGCTCACCCAGTTCCCTGGTACATCATGAAGAGTGGAGATGAGCCGGACACAGAGCAGGTAACAGGACATGTGAGGTGACATCCCCAAAATCTGTCTGGTTGGGAGGGCGCAATGGAGGATGCAACAGGGAAAGGAAGGCATGTGGGGGCACTATGTCTCAGTTCGGGGGGGGGCCTGTCGGGTCACTGGATCCTGATTTCAAGGGGGGGTGCATCTGGAGCACTGGTCCTGGTTTCAAGGGCAGGAATCTGTGGGCATGAGGTCCCCATTCAGGAAGGGGCTCTGGGTCTCAATTTCAAGGAGGGTGTCTGGGAAAGCTGGGCCCCAATTCACAGAGGGGTGGCATCTGGGAGAGCTCCAGTCCTCTGGATAACCCCCTTCCAGCAAAGGAGCTGTGAGAGAGAGGCACCCCATTAATCACTTCCTGGTGCATTGCAGGGCAAGGCAGGAATGGAATTGGATGGCGAGATGGAATTGCGCAGATGGTGAGAGCAGAGGTCAGACTGGATGATCACAGTGGGGTTTATGAGCGATGAATGTTGGCGTAAGAACAAATGGGGGATAACCTGGCCAGGAATCCACTGAGGCTGAATGTGAGAAGAAGGTTTGTGCCCAGCAGAGGAGGGATGGTCTGGAGCAGCCTCCCAGTAGGAGGAGTGGTGGGCAAACACCCCAACCGGCCTGAGGATGGAGCTGGGTAAGTTTCCAACCAGGATCCTGTAACAGGTTGGCTGCAAGAGCAGGACCCAGACTCAGTAGCCCAGAAGGTTCCTTCCAGCCCTATGTTCCTAGGTCGCTGGATTAAGAATCTGGCTGCCCAGGCCAGGGGGCAGAGAGCGAGGCTCTGGAGGGGAAAGGAGGAGGAGATACAGAGACACATGGGGCGCTGGAGAGCACAGGACCCTGCCTAGGCATGCTGGAGTAGGGGTGCTCACCCTAACCCCATGGCCTGGCACGCCCGCAGGGCATTCCTGGACATGCTCGCCAGCACAGTGCACCCCGGTAAATCCGTGATGCTCCTGCTAAGCCCTGCCTCTCTCTGCAGGTCTGCGTGGAGCCTCTCCCCTGACCCCAGCACTGCCCAGGAGGTAGGGGATGGGACTGGGGTGTGCGGAGGGGGGACGAGTGGTCTTAGTTAGTGGCTCGGAGGTGCCCAATCCTCTACAATGTCATCCCCATATTAGGAGCAGGCTAATACTGGGTATCCCTGTATGTTGCCAATACCGATGTGGGGTGCTGGCAGGTGTCACTGCAGAGTGGGGAACAGAGACTGGGGTTCCTGGGGGGTCACCACAGTGTTGGGACAGGGACTGGGGTTCTCTGGGGTGTCACTGAAAGGGTTGCAGCTGAGTCTGTTTTAAGCCACTCTGTTGTTGCAGGAGAAAGCGCTGGAGCAGGGGGAACAGATGATGGACGCTGCTGAGGGGTAAGAGTGGAGTGGTGGGGTTGGCATCTGGGCCTCTCCACCTCTAGTGACTGGGGGTGGAGGGACAGAGTTGGGGAAGGGGGGTTAATATGTAACACTGGATCCATGGGAAAATTGTCCTTGGGGGACATGGCTGGGTCAGGGGGGTCACAACTAGACTGTGTCCTGCCCAGGAGTCAGGGACCCTTGGGGAGGGGGGCAGACAGCTCAGCCTCATTGGGTGGGGGTTGATCTGCCCTGTGGGCAGGGCCGGCTCCAGGCACCAGCTTGCCAAGCAGGTGCTTGGGGTGGCCACTCCGGAGAGGGGCGGCACATCCAGCTATTCGGTGGCAATTCAGCGGACGGTCCCTCACTCCCACTCGGAGCGAAGGGCCTCCCGCCGAATTGCCGCCGCAGATCACGATCGCGGCTTTTTTTTTTTTTGTCGCCACTTGGGGCAGCCAAAACCCTGGAGCCGGCCCTGCCTGTGGGGCAGCAGCAGCCTCTCCATCCCAGTTCCCTACCTGCCTCAGGGATGCTGCTTTCCCCATTCCATCCCCCCACCATCTCCATGCCCCCCAGGGGACTCTGCTCTCATGCCCCTAATGGAATCCACCCCCCTCACAGAAGCTTTTAGCTGTTCCGTGCTAAAGGAATTTCCACTCCAGGGCTCCAGTCACCCCCCACATAGGAACACAGTCTGGCCTGGAGCTGGGGGAGGGAGATACCGGATTGGATGGGCCCACAGGTCTGCTCCTGGGCAGGGAGAGGGGAAGACAGGCGGGCCCATTGATCTGATCTGGAGAGGGGCGGGGGATACTCTCCTCTCACCAGGATGCCCTTCCCACCGCAGGTCATCCAGGGGCACCTCCCCTCCACCCCATGATTACCCAGAAGAACCAGACAGTGCCTGTCAGGAGGTAGGAGTGACTGGGGGATGGAGGGCTGGGGGGCAGTGGGATCTGGGCATCTGCCCTGCACACTCCCCTCCCCAACTCCAAGGAAGGGGCTGCCTGTGGGGGAGGGGGTGGGAAAGGAAGCCGCCTCTTAGATGCCAGGGGTGCAAAGCCACAGGAGGAGGGGAAGGCCTGGGGATGGAGTTAGGGGGCATCTGGGCTGCCCCCAATTGCTCTAAAGGGATTCCTCCCACCAGGAACCTGGGCCTGCTGCTGAAGCCTTAGAGACCTCAGCCCATCTCGCCCAGCAGGAGTCACGCACCACCCTCTCAGGTGAGTCATGGGGGGAGGAATCCCAGTGTAAACAGCCCCCGCTCTCCACCCCAGAGGTGGCTGCATCTCAGCACCAGGCGAGGGATACCTGTGTGCTTTTGGATCTGTGGTGGGTGGGGGTTATAGACTGAGCCCTCCCCTCCCCCCCGGCTACCTCAAGCTCAGTCACTCTGCCCCCTCAGGCATGGGCAGCACTGTATGGACCATAGGGAGTCGCATCAGCCACTGGAGACTGGCACACCAGCGGGGTTACCACGTGGACCAGCTAACACAGGTGGGTACAGCCAGACCCCCTCATCTCGGATCTGTAGATACTCTTACCGTCCCTTTGGGAGGAGCCCTATTATTTGTCAGACCCTGGGCTCAGCATTTCACCAGGGCAAGTCCAGCGGCTCTGCGCCCAGGACTGGGCCTCTGGGCTCCAGCACCCTCTGAGGCTCCACAGCCAGTCCCAGCGAGTTCAGACTCCTGGCAGAGCCTTTGCTCCTTGGGAGTGACATGGCTGGGGGGATCTGCTCCAAGCAAGCCAGTGAGTCCACTGGAATCCAGCATTACAGAGCCCCTGGTAGGATGGGGAAGCTAAGCTTAACGCAGAGAGCCTGGAAACAGCCTGGCCTGGCCCTCCCCCAGGCCTCTTGCCCTTCACCTCTCAGCTTTCTCTGCTGGGGAGGAAGCCCAGGATAGCTAGGGTGGGGATAGCTAGGGAGCAGGGGTGGGGGCAGGGCATTGAGTGGTCTCAGGGAGTCAGGGTGGATGCAGGGTGGGGGTGGGGAGCAGGGGGCATTGGTTGGTCCCAGGCAGTCAGGATGGGGTGCTGGGTGCGGGATGGGGGGCATTGGATGGTCCCAGGCAGTCAGGATGGAGTGCAGGGTGGGGGTGGGCGGCAGGGGGTGTAGGATGGTCCCAGACAGTCAGGGTGGGGGTGCTGGGTGGATGTGGGGAGCAGGGGGCATAGGGTGGTCCCAGGCAATCACAGTGGGGTTCAAGGTGGGGGTGGGTGGCAGGGGGCATTGGGAGGTTCCAGGCAGTCAGGGTGTGCATGACACTGTTTGTTCCCATCTCACGCTCTCTGCGCATCATCACTGGTCCAGAATCAATCTTACAGGCACCGGCTGAGGAAACACGAGCGGGACTGCAAAGCAGCTGTGAGTCTGCCCCCCCCCCCATGGTTTATGGGGCCTTTCTCCCCCTTCCGATGGTATGCTCCCGCCCTACCCAGACCTGAACTTCCTGCCAGCCCCCGTCCATCTGACCTGAGCCCTGACCCACTAGTGCACCTGCCCCCAGCCTCCTCTGACTACCTCTCAATACCTCTACCCTGAGCCCCTAGAGTGTCCCGCACAATCTCCCTAACCCCCCATGGTGGCCTGTCTTCCGGCCTTGATCACCCCAGCCCCTCCTGCTGCCCTCTTATGGGGCTCCCTCCCCCTGAGTCAGTCCCCCATCACCTCTGATGCTCCAGTTTGGGGCCCTCATGGGGAACCCCAGTCTAGGCATCTCTCATGATCCCCTGAGCTCCCTCCACCCACCCACAGGGAACACACACAAGGCTAATGCCCCACGTGGGTCCTATGTCAATGGGGAAAGGACCTCCTCACAGTGCCCTCCCCCAGTCTCAGGGCACCACTGAGAACTGAGGCTCTCATCATGTGGATGAGTGCTCAGAAATCCCCCCAGGGAGGGTCAGGGCTGCAGGGAATCACCTCCTGGACACTAAGCTCCCCCACTCCACGGCCAGGGAGGAGGGGATACCTCCCTCCAGGGCCGGCTCTAGCTTTTTTGCTGCCCCAAGCAGCAAAAAAAGCGCCGCCCCCCCAGCCCCCCCGTCGAGTGCCGCACCGCCCCCG